TGTCAGCCAGCTACGTACAAAAAGAAATGCACGACCTCAACAGTCAGCCTTACAGTTTTAAGAAACTTCTCAAAAACGTCTCTCCTTTATTTCCAGATTTGAAAGTCCAAGAAAGTAATTTCATGCTTTTCTCAATTACCTCTTGACATGTTACAACCTGAAACAACATCCTACACACGTAATGTCACAAAGATCAAAGTTCTATGCAAATTGATTTGAACCGATCGAGAACAAAAAGTAAAAGCCTTTGTTTTCCATTGCGAATTCATGTCGTTATTCCCGTTGATATTACTGTTATATGGAGGTATCATTACTGTTCCTGAAAAAAAGTTGTATTTTCAAAGAACGTTCTCAAGCGTATCGATGTCTAATCATCAGTGGCTTCAATTAATGATAATTTTTCGCATCCTGGGTTGAACTTCAGGGACTAATTTTATCGATAAAAAAAAAACGTTTGGAAGCATTGCCAATGCATTGAACAACGTTGAAAAAACATTCTAAAACGTTGGAAAAACATTTTAAAACGTTGAAAACAATTGCCTGCGTTTGAAGGAAAACGTTGTAAATGCGTTGAGAATCATTGGAATCCGTTTCAATGCATTGTAATGCATTCAAAATGCGTTGAAATGCTTTTCAACGCAAATTTCATTAAGCCCGGTTTTCCCAAATAGGGTCACATATACTAGAATCACTAGTCCTGGGGGTTTTATTCCTGGAACCCAGGAGAGTGTCATCAAATTACGAAACTTACAAACAGACCTCCCCTTCCCCTCCCCCTCCCCCCTCCACGTGCATTTCTCCTTAAATTCCCTAGCTGGTAATGACAGCTCTCCTTTCCAGAAGTTGAGAATAGAGTATAGTTACTTTAAGCAGGATCTGAAATTGGTTTTTAAAGTAGGCTGCCCATTGGACAACCACCTCTTCAGATGTAGGTGTTCAAGGTGAAAATCCATGGCCAGTCTTTCACTGTGACTGAAACTTTTGAAGCTGTCAGTTTCATTGACGTTTCAAGGCTTTTGGCTATGTTCGAGTTTCCTTGTTTATGCTGACCAAAACTTCTGAGTCTCTCTGAGTCTGCCTTTCTAAATCTCTCAAAAATAGAGCAGTTATTATGTTATACCATTTTTTCAAGACGTTGGCAGCTTGATTTATGGCCATCCAGTGGGTAACCATTTTTTTACAATTTGCTCATCACTGTCAAATTCTGGTCTATTCTGACGACTGATTGACTGTGAATTTCAGACACCGTTTATGGTGAAGAAGCTAGTTAAATCTATCAAATTAGTTACATGTTACATTGTACTTCGAGCCACTAATCTTTTCATCTTCTGTCTAGAAATCCAATTCAACCACTAAGCCAAGCAGCACTGCTAGCACCCAGAAATCAACTAATGCAACATCTACAGCTCAATCTGAAGGTATGGATATAATAATATTACCTTAATTTAAACAATCAATATTGAGATAACCAACTGGTTGGAAAATTTTGTCCATCACTGTTTGAAGGTAGCCTAAATGTGAGTCTCAAGAGCAACCAACCTCAATTTTCTCCCAACAATATCCTTTGATTATCAATAGCAAAGGTTATGAGAATTAAGAAAATGATCACCTTTAGGAAACTGCTTTGATCTTTTATCAAATTCTCTCAACTAAATCTGTTCAGAAATGTATGGGTATTAGTGCAGAGAATTTGTATGTGGATATTGGGGCTTAAACACAAAAACCATGAACACCAGAAATATTTATGGAATATTATTGTGTTGCGTGAAATAAGCCAATAAGGCGCGGGATAACTAAACCGCAAACAGCAACAGTAATTAGTTTGTGGTTTTGAGGTTTGCTTGCGTATACTGAACTTTATTGTGATTGGCTAGTACACAATCAACATTCCTGAAATTTTTTGGGTGTTCACGGTTTTCTGAGTTTGACAGTAAGTGCACAGGAGCCATGCATAAATTTCTGATTCTCCTTGAAATTATTGTTGATGCAAAACCTCATTTTTTCCTTTTAATCAAAATTAAACAAGCGATACATGTAAATATTAATTATCGAGAAATTTTCAGTGTTCTCACCAGGCCGCGGCCTTGCGGGATTCCAGCAAGAAAAACTGAAATGGCGCATTAAAACCAAGAAGATGCGCCCGTTAGGGTGCAGGGGCAAGCTGCGAGTCAAACGGACTTAAGTAGTTTTAATGGTCAACCTAACACTAAAGCATTCTGTTTGTTTGAATAAATAAAAAACATGATATCAAATGAGTCAAAGTCTTTAATTTTGTCGCCTTTACTTTCATTGGTCCCACGCACGTCCCACTACATCGTAAACTCCTCCTCCGAATGGTAAACACCTCTTCCGCCATATTGGATCAGGTAGGTACTTCATGTAACAGACAATTTGGAGTGCGGGCTCAGGTTCTTCGTACCGCGTGTTTTTTGTAACTTTGTCCCCCTAATGTTCTTACAGGGCCCCTATTTCTCAGAAGAGGGGGCCCTGGGACTCCCCAAGGCAAAATCCTGGTGAGAACACTGAATTTTGTATTCTCCCCAAAAAGAAGAGGGAAATACCAGTAAGTGAAAATGTAGAATGAAGGATTTTGTGCGTTTAATGCACAGGGAATTGTGCCCATTAATAATACATGTATTATTATATTGTTGTTGTTTGTCTTTTCCAGTTTCTACAACTTCCATGCCTCTAAAAGTCAAGAAAACCAAGGAAAATAACCACACAACATATGGATCATTGGTGATTGCCCTTGCTTTTGGTATATTGTTCTTTTTAGCTGTCTTAGTTCTCATTGGTCGTCCATGGTGGTACTCATTTCATAGGCCAAGGTACTCCAAGGTGGATTATTTAATGAATGGACTCTGAAAAATCTTAGTCTTAGTTGGAGAGTCATACTACTTAGTAGGAAGGCAGGTAGATGTAGATTTAATTGTTGTTGATATTTATTATGTATTGTTACGAGAGATGTAAGTGGTGTTTGCTTTTAGGTGTTACTCTGTAGTCTCAGAATTTAGTACAGTTGGAAACTGTATGTTAAGTTCTTAACTTAAAGAAGGTTCACGTCAAAACAAGAAGTGGATTTATGTCTAAAGTACTCCTTCTTGGACTCTAAAAGTAGTTAGTCATTAAGGTTGTGCTATAATTTCTTCAGCTTTTCTGGTTCGCTAGGATCATTAGGATTTTGTGTACTATGCATTTTTCATAAAAAAATAATTTTCTGTTAGTTCTTGAAACAACAAACTTAATTTTTTCTTTTTACATCTAAAACAGTTTTAAAATTATTATCAATAACATTAGCACTGTATGTTTGTCAGCTTGTTCTTAATTCGCAAGTGGTTGGAAAAGTTTTTGGGTTTAGAACACGTGAGCCAAATTAGTTAAAACTGGATTGAAAATTGTTACGGAGACAGTGGAACAGCAACCTACATTTTATCAGGACACAGGAAGAAGAGAAACAACGACAACAACAACAACAATCTTTATTGTGCTCTTGATACAAAAGTGTAAAGACATTAAAAGGAAATGAAGGAAGAAACAGGACTTAGCCTGAGAAAACAGCTGACATTTTGCAATGTTGAACATTACTGGTTTCTCCTAGAAATGATTTCTGTGGAACAACTGCAGAAAGTCTATACTGATGACAGAAATTCCATACTGATGACGTGTCACTGCCCAGATCTGGGTAGTGCGTTTGATTGCTTCAAACAAATTTTCCTCGCAGCACAACCAATCAGAAGCACTACCCAGATTTTGGTAGCCACAATTAGCAAAGAAGGAATTTCTGTGCTCGTTTCTCAGACACCATTTCACAGGGCAACTCCCAATAATGTAGATGTTCAGGGGAAGTCAAAAATGGTACAGCTTACAGAAGAACAGTACCAAATAACCAGAAATTAAGAAAATACACAGTGAGGCAATGTTTTGTGAACATGGTATTTTGTTTTGAGTGTTGAGACAATGTATTTATCTGCACTGTTATGGTGAGAGTCACTAAGAAAAAGGATATCATTTTAATCAAAGGAAACCCAAATTAAAAGCAGCTTAATGAAATGCTGCTGTAAATTAATAGTTTCAGAGGACTACATTTCTAAGCTGAAATAGTGTGTTATTAACAGTCCTAATTACTTGTAGCAACCAATAATTATGTGAATGTTAAATGGAGTATGATGGAATGGTATGGTTAAGACTATTCAAGTCTACATCCTGACATTTAATTGTGGTGTTTAAGTGACCAAGGGCACAAGTATAAAGAAAATTGACTTGAGTGTATTCAGACAAGGTAATGTTAGGTTCTACAAAATTAATGTGTATTGAGGGTAAACTTGCAGCCATCCCTGGGGAAAATTGCTTAACCCTTAAGTCCCAACAAAAGCAATACATAATCAAAGGAAAATCTTCTTAGAATTAATACAATAATCACCTGATGGGAAAGGCTTTGATAATATGAAAACAAATGCTCTTAAGCAGTTCTTCAAGGAAATGTGTGGAGATTAGTCTGGAGAATTTGTGTTTGGATATTGGGACTTTGATAAAGGGTCAATTTGGTTTGGGTGAGTGCAAGATTCAAAATGAGAGTTTGATTTTACCAGGTCAAAATTATATTCAGATTAAACGTTTCTTAACCTACATAAACTGTAGGTTGATTCTCAATTCACTTTGTCTCCTAGCCCCAATAGAGAATCAACCTTGAGGTTAAAAAATTTTAACGTGAATTTAATTTTGCCTTGTAACATATGCATTCCAACGTGATCTATAATATTGTTTTTTTTTTTTTTTTTTGGGGGCGGATATTATTTTGTGTCTTTTACGCAACTTTGTATTTTTTTGGTTTCATTTGACTCAGTACTGTAAGTGATAGGGCTTAAGGATTACTCAAGACAACATTGATTTGCCGGGTTGATATATAAAATAATAGTTGAACAGGGTTGTAGTATTTATCAGGAGATATTGGGATTGGTGGAGAAAAGAGAAGGCAAACTTAGTAATGTTTCATTCTTTATTTTAGTTGCTATAAATTTATACATTTTCCTTTCAGAGCTTTCCAAAGTAGCCTTGAGGCCTATTTTGGAGATCAACATCTAATAGACATCTTTAGCTTTTATGTTAAAGATTTCTATTCCTTGGAAAAGGTATGATGTTCATGGGTTTAATAATTCATCAAACATTATTATTAGCCAGAGTGATCAAACTGGAAGTTGTAAAATATTTTAAGAATCAAAGAGGTAAAATAAAATTAATTTTTATTTGTCATTTTCTCTTGCAATAGTACTTCTATAAACTTGTTTTTGGAAGCCAGTTTTTACAATATTGGGTGTTCACAGCTGATAGGTGGCATATAAATCACAATCTTTCCGACCTTCCTTCCTGTGTGTACTCTATGTTATTACCCACTGTGTGGTCTATGCTTTGGGAAGTAGCTATATGGTTGAGCCAAGATTCAGAGTGTAACTTTTTTTAGATTCAGACCACAAGATGAGCTATTTTCATGCATGGAAAGATTTAAATATCCCAGAAACGTATCTTTTTGACATGGTGTGCCTTCTACAAGTTGGGATTTTTAACTTATTTTATTTACCCTACAAGCAGAGGTTTCTCTCTTGCATGGATTTTAGTGTTTATGAAGTCGTTCGCTTGGCTTGTCAGTCACATAAGCTCCAGGAGAAACCTCTACAGTGAACCGCTTTTGGTTTCCGTTAAGCATGTGCCAGATCATTAACCCTTTCACTGCCAAATGTAGCCAAAGGCAAATTTTGACCAAGTTTGCAAATTTCATTTTGGAACATTTTGCAAAACAAATAGCAAAATGTGACAGTACAGGCAGAGAGCTTTCATTTGAATGGTCACATCAGAGGATTTCATCCACAGACTCAAAAGTTAGCGTCATCTTACCAAACTCCACCAAGCACTCTGGCAGTGAAAGGGTTAATTTGTTACAATAGAGATAATGACAGAGCATAAATATAAAACAAAGCAACTGTGTAACTGACAAGGGACACAAATGACTTCGTCAACACTAAAAGCTATGCAAGAGAGAAAACCCTGCTCGCCGGGTATGATTTTATTCCAACTCCTCCTCGTACTTGAGCGATGTGCTATTATAATTGACTGAATAACCTTGGCTGCTACACCTACAATATGGGTGGGGGTGGTCAAATCCATGACTTATTGAGATACCTAAACCTTGGCTTAAAAATTATAAACTTGCGGCAAAAGGAAGAAAAACAAAAAACACCAGTGGTATGATGTTTGAAAAATAGCAGGAAAAAATGGTAAAAAAACTTGGATTCATAGTTGTTTGTATATAATTCTCAAAGTAGGCTGGAAGCGAGTTTTGACAGATCTAGAGGCAACTGTGACATTTGCCTTGGTACAAGTAATTAACTGACTGAAGTAGAGATCAACATGTTAGCTCAAGGGAATAAATCTACCCTTGACCTTAAATATTGTGAACACAGATGATATGAATGGCATGAATGAGTCCATTAGCAAAATGAAATTTGAATGATATATATCATCTTGCAGTGGAAACATTAATTTTCATAATCGCTTTTAACTGACAATACTGTCAAAACGTTCAGTATAAAAGCAAGAAAAATAATTCAGAAGCCTTAAAAAAAATTATCACTTTACTGGGGTATACTGCAACCAGGCCAGTTACAAATTAAAGCAGGGTATTAATTTTATTATTTGTGAATAGGGACTAATTTTTAAAAAAAGACCAAAGAAGTTTACAATCATGCCTTTCCAATGTTTTTATTTTTAACCAAATACTGTGCTATCTTTTCTATAATATTGAGCAAACAGAGGCAAATTAGAGGTCAAATCTCATTATTTTTGCCTTGAGGAAGAAAACTATTGTAAATACATGTATGTAATATGATATTTTAATTTATGGTATAGTTTCAATGCTCAAGTCTGCTAATAATATAAAAATGAGGCCTGTTGATGAGCCAGGCTAGCCTGCTTTACTGGGCTGGCTTTGTTCATGCCTTACTTTCTTAGGAAATTTTAATTAGCCCGGGACCAGGCTTCGTAGTGGGGAAAAAGATGGAAAAAAATTGGTGAGCGAAGCAAGGCAAAAGGTAGACTAAGAGTAGTCCCCATTCTTCCTCAAGAATAATAGAGTTGCCGAAAAGCAAGTGCATGTGAAATCACAGTCTAGGCGAACGGTAGTCTGACAAGAGGGAAGTGTAGTGCCCTTTCCCCCTCTCCAGTCTCACCCCGTTTTTTTGCTTTTTCCTGCCACTACAGATCCTGGGCCCAGGCTAAGAACATTTTTGTTCAGGTTGTGTGAGAAGGCGGGCCATTGAGTCTGTTACCCAAGATCTCAGTTTGAACAAGCCAGCCCTTGTCCTGCTCATTTATACAAAATAACAAAAATGGTATATGGGGAAATGAGGCAAGAGCTGAGCCTGCTGGTTATAAAAAAGATACCAGTTTGAAAAAGCAAGACCTCATAAGCATACAAGGCAAAATGTTAGGGAGAAACAAGGCATGATCCAAGCCAACCTGGCTGTTTGGCTGCCTTGCTTCATAAGAATATTTTAAACAGGTGACTGATCACATTTGAAAGCATTTTTGAACCATAAAATTACTTTGACTCTTCACTAATTTAGTGTATTGAATATTTTGAGAGTCAGAGTACAGTGCAAAGAAAATTGTATGCTAAAATGAATACACACAGGCATAAATTTCAACATAATTTTTTCCTTTTTTAGGCTCAGCTGCTAGTTCTCTGACGCCATGCTGTCGCCTCCCACATAGATGTTAAATATGGGGGTGTATATTTTTATAAATGTTTTGTTGTGTGGATGATGCAATCCTCCCACACAGAATTTCCTATTTGAAACTGATTCACACCATGGATGTCATTTGAATGTCGACAGAATCGATAAGATGGATTTAAAATGGTCTATCTTGTGATCAGTGTGTGGGCCGGGGATTATATTACGTCAGCAAGAAAGGCATATGTGTTACGCTTTAAATATTTTTATTTCGAAACATATATATAAAAAAAAGAAAGAAAAAGTGAGTGGGTGGCATAAAGGATATTATTATACACATTCTATTTGCATTTTATCATGATGTTTGTGTTGGGAGTGCACACAACTTTAGTGTCAGAGGTAATATTGTTAGGTTATGATAAATCTACCGAGTTTTAGCTTCACTTCAGAAGAAAAATGACAAAATTAATTTTATTGTTTTCTCCAGTCTTTTCCTACATAGAAATTTTTACAAAGCACCATGGTGTGCTAAAAATTGTTCTGAGGATTATTGGCAGACTTAACAGTATTTTGTGTTTTCATAGGCTGAAAATAGATTTCCATGCTATAAACAGCACAAGAAATAAATATAAAAAAAATAAAAGATATTTTAATGGGTTACTGCAAGAGAAAACAATTTTGTTCTTCTCCTTCATATCTTAGCGACAGCTTATAAATTAGAACATGCTGTCTGAACTGAATGTTAATGATCAGTTTTGCAGTAATACTATTTTTGAACACGTGAAGTGGTGGATTGATACAAAGTTGTACTCGACTCTTTTACTCTAGGGAATTTTCACTTGCAAAGTTCTTGCAATTTTGCTTCACTGTTGTGAGACAAGTTCCATTTCTCAGTTTAAATCACCCTGAAACAAACGTGTCTCACCGAATAAGCATTTGTTGCAGTGATTAATGTGGAAAGTATACATGATTCATTTAATACTTTGTACAAATAAATAATTTTATGCTATTCAAGAGGTTTGTTAGAGTTACCAATATTGCAACTTCTCCAAAAAAAAATGCCAATGCATGATGAAACTTCTTGAAGGGCTAAAACGAGAGTCACTCTTGGTATACTGTCTTAAATACGCATGCAATTCAACAGTATTAAGGTATGTAAATTGCCTCCTGCAAAGAGAAAATACAAGGTAGAAAACTTTTGGTTCTAGCCCTCCTTCGCTCTGCCATCTCTGAGAAAAATGACAAATTAATGATGTCTGCAATATTATTAGATAAGCTTCAGAACTACAGACTGGTGAAACTCCATGACATTCCTCTAGATCTAACCCTCCTCTCACATATCAAAGAGGCAGTCTTGACTGCTGTGTTTGTCAGCCCTGGTATTCTTTGATTTAAGAAGGAAAAATGTAAATTCACACTAATTTATAATACTTTGTGAGTTACCCTGTTAAAATAAACTCAATGGAATTTAATTCTTAACTTATGTTTAAAAAATCTACTTAAGGACAACTCCAGAACATGAACGCAGGATATAGACTCTGCCGCTCAAAATTTTCCCTGAACTTGCACAAGACTGAGCCTTCTTGCAGGCTAGAATTTCATATGGTGCTAACCATCTTATTTTCCTTTTTGAACTTATTTGATAATAGGGAGAAAAGTCTGTGAGAAAAGTTAATAGAACACTTTGTACAACCTCAAATCTGATACTTGCCAAAGTACTGACAAAGTAAAACCAATTTTCTTAATATTATTCATTTTATTTACATCCAAAGCTCAATCTGTTCAGAGAAAATCATGATTTTAGCTTCAGTCAGCTATTAACATATCTTGATCAACCAAAGATAGCAATTACAGAAAATCCACTGTATTCTTAAACCCAACGTGAACAGATGGCCTCTTAACCAAACCAGGACCCACCCAAATAAAATATAACAATAACTGCGAATGAAAGAGTTTCTGTACATCTCCTCTGGAAAGTATAAAATAAGGGACTGTGTAAAAGATGATTCCCAATTGTTTTGGTCTAACTGCAGATTTATTTACAGGTTATACATTCCCTTTTTATTACCATCATCAAGTGCCATCTACTAGTAGTAGGTTGGCTATCATGGATCTCCTTTTTCTTAGATCCATGATTAAACTGTGGGTACATGGTGGTGTCCCTTTTTATATTACACAATTTTTTTTTTTAGGTATAGTTTGTCAACATCAAAAGACTGCTTCAAGTACTGTGCTCAGATCAGTTTCGTAAAAATCACTGAACTCTAACAGTGTTGGGAAGATTAAAATGTTATTAAAATATATAGCATTCTCCAGATCTGCTGTTACATGCGAGGTACTTTTTAATACTGACAAACTTAAATATATTAAATTCTTCACAGAAGATACGAAGATGGCATGTGCATCATGTTTACAAAATGACTGAATGCATTTATGCAAACCACCAGTGAGTTTGAAACACTGGGGAAAAGAAAATAATATCACTTTGCTCCTGCAAAATCAGCCATGTATTATGTATTGACAAGAACGTAACACTAAAAATTCAATAGTTACTCTATTGTAGATCTAAAAATACATTACAATATAATCATTTCCTGTTTTCTGCACTGTTAGTTATATAAATTTAACACAGCCTGAAAGTTAAGGCTGACAATGGAAAGGTATCCTTCAAGCTTGAATTCCAGGTAAACACAACAATATTTTCACTTGTTTTTTCAACCAGATTGTGTTTGTCATAAATATGATGTAAATGTTCCAGATTTCCATAAAAACAACTTGACGGAATAACACCAAGAAAAAACATTAGTATCACATTTCTGCCAGTTTTCATCTGCATGCTAACATAAGAAGGGCTCCCAGCCCAAGGCCAGCCACAGCAGCTACACGCCAGCCGCTTGCGTTATTGTCAGAAGGACCCTCGTCTGTCCTGAAGAAGTCAATAAACCCATCCTGAAAAAAAAAATGAGAACGAATACTTAGTAATCATGACAAAAATACTACTGGCATGTACTTTTGCATAACATAAACAGGTTTTCATTGCACCTTTTGCATAAATTTATGGTTTTAAAAGCACGCTATAGAAGGAAATTCGTAAACATTACGAGCCCTGAAGCTTTATGGACGAATAGACCCCCTTTACTTCATACGCGGAGAGTTGCACTGCTCACACTAACACTAACGCTATTTGGTCAAAGTTATGTTAAAAATGTACACTTTATCATCCTTCAATATAATATTTCAACTGTCTTGAATTTTGCAAATGGATGTGAACTCCATAGTTGGTGCAGATACTATACTGATCAGACACATCCGAGTTCCTTCCGGTTTGAAGGTCCAAAATATCAAGATTACGTCATCTTGATGCTGGATTAAAAAAACAAAAAGGGTTAAAATTTATAGGGTTTATTTTTTTGTGATTCTGCATGTGATAAACCAAAGAAAGAGGAGAGTTATAAAGTTTTGGCGGATCGTATTTCCCTCAAAGTGTGACTAACAAGTAGGTTGACATACTTGCAATTTCCGATTTCCAATTCAACTCCACGTACTCGAAATACTATAAATTTACTACAGTCATTCAATACGAATCCTGGCGCCCTACAAGAAATCTTTGCTAAATATTAAAAAAATCCCCAAATAAATTTCCCTCAGACTAACCGCGTGCTAATATCTCCTTGCTTTGGCTAGCAACATTTTTAAACTTATTTTTGTCATTTTGCTTATACTCTATCAAAACCGAAATAATCCAGGACATCGTCAATTCCCCAGGAAGGACAAGCGACATGTTCTATTCTTGAAAATACACGAGTGAAACAGACGACAGGATGAAGCGAATTTGCATCCAACTCCAAAAAAGGCACGTTTACTGAACACCAAAGTTTAGGTATCACATTCTTAACGATTTTTTAAAATATATTATTTAAAATTTTCTTGCTTTATATTTACGCTTTTCATTGAGATTACAATCATTTTACTCTCGATCTGCGCTTTCACACAACGACCACAGTACTCTGTATATTTAAAGCTTAATTAATAGCAAAATTTTTTGCGCGTTTTCGCCTCTGTTCCAGATTACACCGGGCGAAACGACAAAAAAGAGGTTAAAAAGATCGATTCTCAAAGATAATAGCCTTACTATTTTTTCTGAATATTTTCTGTATTTTTGAAATCCTTTGATTTTCTCGTGATGTTTAATGTCAACAAATCGTGCTTTTACTCTTAGTGATTCAGCATTTCCCGAGCCATGAGTTTTTTTCCACTCACTACCCAACATTGAACACATACTAGCACTACTGAGCGAGGACCCATTCACAGATCAGTTGTAATTCCAAACATACTCACCCATCCGCCATTACTGTTAATCCAAGGACCAAGATTCTGGTTCATGTACAACGAAATCCATTCAACGATGTTCTCTATAAGTTGCGCCAAATCCTCTCTTGAGGCGCAATACACGACCAACGTGGCCCCGAACGCCAGAAAAGCTACTATCCGACCCCAGTTAGTTCCTGTCTGGAAAATTTCGTCCGCTATCCCCACAAAGGTAGCATACGTTGATGCAGGCGTTAGGTGAAGCTGATCGCACATGGTTTCGAATAATTGTCTGTTTTCTTCTATCAATTCGTCAGCGACTCGTCGCAAATGACGAGCCGCTGGCGAAGTCGATTCCACATGATATCCAGCCAAGAAAATATTCCTTTGCCGAAGTTTGTAGCCGACGTAGTCCTTGACAATCTCCTGAAATGACTGCAATAGATTTTCGTGTCCCATAGGCATCATCTGCGGCAACCGTGTCAGTCAGGTCAACCAAATTCTTTCTTGAGTCTTCTGGGGAGCAAAATTAATATATACCACGCATTGAGAACCTACCCAATCACAAACCGTAAAATAAGTGCCTAATGTTATTACAATATCTAGTGTCAATGACGTCATAAAGGGATGAGCGCGCATAGACTGGTATAAAATATTCCCAAAACTGGTCTGATGTTCGTTGTTACTATGCGATTTTGAGTCTTACTTTGCTTACAAAAATTTCCAGGTCGAAGGTTAAATACACTTGCTTAGTTTAAATACGCTGGCAACAAGATAAGCATGGTTGGTGAGGCAATGCAGAAATAGGCACAAGAAATTCATGACGTAATTTTTTTAGTCGCATAATTTGATAAACAAGTTTTCATTCATTCATTGGTTTTCTTGAATGATCGTCGATTTTTCACTAATATTACAGTGATATTCACGCCCTCATTAACAACACTGGTCGAAAAATAAGTTCTTTAGTCGTAAAACTGCATGTATTTGTTAACTTTCAATCAAGATCTTGTAAAACAAGTGTTGGAGTAAACGAATTTAAAAGTTTTGTGGTTCATAAAATGTGCGTACGTGATAACATGCTCGAACGTCACAATGAGCCCCGGGCTGAGAGAAGCACTTATGAATTTGCAGATCTTGCAGAATTACTTCGCATTTCTTACATTTTACGCGAAAATTCCTTTTCTTCAACTGCTAACAAAAAGTACCCTATTTTCAAGGCAAGATGTACATACAAAAAAGTCAAGAACGAACTCCACGCTCTTACTTCATTCCAGTTGTATGTTGTGGAAAATTGCCAATTCATTAATTTGCTGTGAGCTTTCTTTATACAATACTATACTTGGCGAAAAAGCTATTTCAAACTAAATGTAAACTGTTATTACAGGACCAAAAGTGGGCATTTTGGCTTCTATTTTTTAAGAATTTTGCCGAGTTTCGGATTGGTCAACAACTCTGAAATTTTCAACGCGTGACAAATTGTGTCAATACAATTTTGTCCTTTTGCCGAGTGAATTACATGTAAAATACACTTTATTTGTTTAATAGACCCCTCTCCACGAAAATTCTTTTTTAAGCCATTCAGATTTTTTTTCTAACTGGCTAAGATCAGTTCTGTCTGACAAATAGCCGCCACAAGAAGAAGCCGTGTGTTTTAAACTTTAGATAGTTCCATTCCGTGTTAATACGCAATAAAATGAAAAAGTTATCATTATACGTTTTCCGATCGAATTGTCAATCAACACGAGCGAGATGCACCCTGCGCGCGTTTTTAAATAACTTTAAAGGGATCCACGATCGAAGAGGCGTTGGAGAAATTCCACAAAGAATTTGAATCATTACTGGTACTTCATTTGCGATTTTCCCCCCACCACAAAAAATCCTAAGCTTCAGCAAAATGACCCGGCCGAGAAAACTCTGCCATCGCTAGACGTATTAACTGCTCAATCAATCCACGGTTTGACTTTCATACTAAAATCACCAACTTTGAAACACGCGATAACCCTGCCCACACAAGTATGATAGTAACGAATGAAAAATTATTTACCTTTTAAGCCGGAAATAAATCTCCGCCCAATAATCGTTTCGTGGCTAGCTCAGAAAGACGAAACTCCTGAAGCGATTGCAACTGCGGCGGCTCTCGAATTTATATATCTGTACTGTTGATCTGCGTTCTTCGCTGAAAAACTGATTATAAAATACGATAAAAGACGCTAACTTATAAAATGAGAACATTAAACTCCCCTTCCAATTTTAGGCTGTGACTTCCGGTTAAACTGGAAGTGTAAACGAGAAAGGGAAAGACCCTGAAACCCGTTCTGTAACGCTGGCACTGAATTTGAATTTTCATTGACAATATAAACTTGTTTATAACCGAAATAGACCTGAAACGAAACATACTGAATGGGAAGTCAAAATCGAGATTCAGTTTCAATTTACAGTGTTCCGGTCAGCGCTAGTTATTCTCGCTTCTCGTCACCTCGCACTTTCCCTCGATCCATAATTTCGAACGCTTACCAGAGCGCCCGTTTACAGGCTTATGACAGACTTATGGAAACATACTGAACACATGAATCAATGAACGTCATTGATTCCCCCTGCTAACAACTGGAAACGGTCCTGCAAAAGGGTATTACTGAACAGACTTTAAAACAATACTAGTACATTAGCCGTCCAGTGTTCGAGTCAGTAGCACGTCTTGGTTCTCGCCGTTTAAAACGCGGGTTTCAGTAAAGGGTCCTAAAAAAATAAGAGCGGAGTCGAGGCTCAACTCAAAATCCAACAGCTTATTTATAAGATAGTAGTTTATACGATACTTACAATCGATTGTGGTTTAATGGTATACCTTGGTCAATTGTCACGCGTCAATCGTGGGCTCTCAAAACAGAGCCGGTCAACTGCTACTGCTTTTACGCACAAGTAAAACAGAATCAACTCACTGGGCTACAAAGTTTCACAAGACCAAAACTGACAGTATTTTGACAGTGTATTTCGGTTTTAACTATATGCAAAAAGAACAGAATGTCATTTTAATAAACGTCAGTCTGGAGCCGTCAAACTCTCAAAGAAAGCCGACTGGTCACCTCTTCCCATAGCCGGAATCATAAGGGCTCCTACTTTGAAATTTTATTTGATTGACCCTCTTAAACCGCGCTTGTTATTGAGAACAGAGTAGCAGAGTAGTTGATTAGCTGTGTATCTCTGTTTCTCGTAGCGACATATACTGGTAGTTGTTCATCCCCGGTTCATCACAGTACGACTGAGATGATTAGTAGATAATTAATCTTCCTACGCACGCAACCTCCAGAGACTCACGAATTGGCGTTTCTAGTCTGGCATTATTCATGATATGATGATCATGTGACATAGTTGTAGGCTTACAAAGTTTGACAGTCAATTTGCAGTTTAAGCCGTTTCAATGGTTGTTTCTTATTACGTGCAGCATACGCTGTAGCTGCCAGCTGCATGGCTAGGCTAGCAAAGCTTTCTAAGACATAGAGACAAACATCAAACTCATTTTTCATACGAGTCGTGCACGCTCGCGGACCTGCCAACGTACACGCCGGTGTAAACGTTTGGCACTAAACTTTGCACGCAATGAAGAGCGGCCGTGTCACGAGGCGGTTTCCACTTGAACACACCCGCGAGCAAGCAGACAGGTGCAAGGTGAAGGAGGAAAACAACGGAAACAGTAGGTCATCATTATCATTAATTTTTATTTTTTTTTTATTTTTTAGGAGCGTTTTATTTGTTTGAATGACCTGGCCGTACAAATTCACTTTGACCATTTTAGGTGAATCATGAGATTCGCACGCTACGGGAATTAGTGAAAACATCGTCAATGAACTGCCATTTGGTTTGGATGATCCAAAACAAGTTGGGCCATATCAGAGATCATAAGATTCACACGCCTCAGGAATTAAAGCAAATTCCCTTGTCAAACTATTGGTTTCCGAGGCACCGAATTAATTTGTTTGGCTGACATGATATCCAAATCAAGCATAGGCATTTTAAGAGATCATGAGATCGCACGCTTTGGGAAAAGTGAATTAGAGAAAACTCAGCCAAACTCTTTTTCTTTAAATGATTCAGTTTGGAAAAGTTAACATTTTTAGTGACTATCAATACATCTAGTGAGACTTTGAGAAAGGCCCGTCAGCTACTGATGTCACTCCAAAAAATTGATGGCAGTGAATTATACAATAACATAATTGATAAAGTTACTATAATTGTGAGTGAAGTACGGAAAATGGCTGTCACATGCAAATTCCGAACGCACGTACAAAGCTATCATAACGAAATGACTGACTAGATCTTACTCAGAAAAGTAACTATTTGTAAGTACAATGAAACTTCGCAGCACTTGTTTTTTTTTTAAATTTTAATTTAATTTTTTTGATTCAGAGATTTCACCGCTTTACATGCTTAATAAAAAAATAATTTCCAGTTGCTCCTAGTTACCGCGTGAGTAAATTGGCCGTTTTGTTGGTGGCTCAATATGATAGACCTCCTAGATCCTGACACTTATGCCTTGCTCAGTGGCTAGAAAACAGATCTTGGTTGTTCGGCACGCGCATCAAGGCACTGAACCTTCATGAGTGCCTTGGGTCCCTTTTCAGCGCTGGATTTGGCCCTTTTTGCGTGTATCATCTCATCTCCCACTGCATGATAAAAATCAGTTAATATGTAAATCGATTCATTGAGAATTCGAATCAATGGTCCGATATTTTCATTCTCTGAAAATGACACCAAACTCGCTGTGACTTAGATGCGAAACAGAGTCCATGAAAAAAACTTACAGATATCCTCACATCTTTTTTGTTCTTATCGTTGAATAATTTTTCTTATGATACACAGTCTGAATAGCTAATTTTCTGGGAAGAAACAAGACCGCCAAAGTTAGTCCATGAAAATGACGTAAAATGTAAGGTGGGTTTTCCCATTAGCTAACAGCTGTCTTTTTTTTAAAGTCACACGCGCGGTTGACGCGAGTATCCACACGAAAATCCACGCGTGTAATTCTTTCGTGGACGATTAGACCTCCCAAGGGGTGAATCATTTTGTATCAATCCTCCATTCATCCTGATGGAACATTGTCATCAGTCTTAAGCTATAACGAAAGATCCACTCGTTACAGAACTGACTGAATGTTAACATAGCAGAACCGTCATAGCAACGGAATTTCCGGTGGGAGTCCCCTCTTGGTACTTAGTGGTCGATAAGGGTCACGGAATGCGCTTAAGTGAACAGATTATGAAAGAAAAAATCTTAGTCACGAACGTTTAGCAGAATCTTCAGATGCCTTCCTTTTTTAAAATGTTTACGTAACCAAGATGCGATTCTTCAAGGGTGTATCAACGTTGCCCGAATGGTTCGCAGGCAACATGAACCCTTTCATTGCAAGAGTGTTTGAGGGGGTTTTGTAACGTGACTCTAACTTTCGAGTCTATGGACGAAATCCTATGATGTGA